ATATATATATATATATATATGTTTTTTTTCTTTTTTCGTTCGTAAAAAGTAAAGTTCGTGATGTAAGAAATGAGAGAAGAACTTTCTCGATGCCACAATTTTCTTGTCCAAGCAGTTCAAGTTCTGTGGATTTTAGATATTAATTAAATGACTGACTTGAAATCTCTGTTATAGATGACCAAATAAAATGAAGCTAAAAAAATGACCTGAAATAATCTTTACTACTAAGAAACAATTGCTACTGTACCTTATATTTTAAATTGTTGCAGAAATTTAATTTTCATAGCAACCCTCAAACGATTGTGTTGCTTTTCGACTCTATGACATGCAAAGCAAGAGACAATTGCTACTATACCTTCTATTTATAATCGTTCCATATTTCTCGGTAGATTTGTTAGGTTCGTTATTAATGCCTTTAAGTTTATTGTATGATTAAGAATATTATCATATCAGCGTGCTGGAGTATTGTTCTAAAGCTCAACATTATGTACTGTTCAAAAGAAAAAAACTCCTAGAATTAGGGCTTTTATTGATGACTTAAAGAAAGGATTCTCGTTATGTTTGTAATATGTGCTGAGAATTTTATTCTTATAGTCCTTTGAATAGCTAGTCTTGGCAGAGAAGTACAGAATTTTTAGTATGTATCATTAATTTGTTTTATAGTAAGCAGTACGGCTGGTGAAAAATATACGTAAATCTAGTTCTACTATCTGTTTAGAAAATTATGAACTCCGTCATTGCTTATTCACAGAAGTGAATCACTTCGGTATTTTTTTACGGTTGAAAGTCTCACGATGAAAAAGACACGATGTAAATTTTGACGTTAATGACGTTAATGGCTGTTTACTCTCCAGATTTAATGGTATGTATACTAAGGAAAGTCTTACACATTCTCTACAGTATAACAAAATTGCATTTGTGAAGGCAACTACAAACAATGTGGATAGTGTTAAAAGGCAGGAGAAGATTGCAGCAAGTGGACTAGAGGTGCGGTTATTTTATGAAACTTTGTTGGCTGAAAAAGCCTGTACTTATGCATGCACAACTTTTACCAAGTCAGAGATGTTGGAATTGGAAGAAAACTCAAGCAGTGCCAGAGGAGAGCGATTTCAAGTGCGCCAAAATGTGTTGGAGAACATTGCAGAAGAAACATTCAGTACGGAAAGTATTCTACAACGTTTTTTGAAATGTGAGGCGAAAGGTAATTTGTCGGGAGTGGAAGATTATGCTGACAAAGGTATGTGTAGTGCCATTTTGTAGCAGTATGTGTTGTCTTTTGAAAAACTCTTTTTCGTCCATTCCTGTATACAAATGAACCTTCGCCTAGCAATTTAGATTTTCGCTCTATTTTTAGCTATGTTAAGGAAAGCGAAATGTTCTTACGTATTTGCAGCTTTAGAAAACGGCCATTTTTTAAAACTCATTTTTTTGAATCACTTTCTATCATAATGGGATTGAGCGACACTCTTATACGAGGGAACAATTGAAGTTATTATTTTAGTTTTTTTACTATTGTTGTTATAGGAATGAATATTGATATATCCGATCAGTATGGTTGGACTACACTAATGTGTGCAAGTTTTACAGGTCACTTGAACGTTATCAAATATTTGTTATCTTTAGGAGCGGATGTTGGAAAAAAGTATGGTTTTTGCTATAAATATTGTGAAATGTTGGATACCTTATTGTATGAATGTTTCTTTAATGGTTCATTTCATTTTCTGACTGCATCAAAATACCTTACTGCTTTTATAAAAAAGCATGCGAAATATCAGTTTAGATAACAACTTCAAGAATCTGCCTTCCTATTTACACTACTTTAACTATGATTATTTAATTCAGTGCTTTCACTATCTCAGTAACTCTATGTTTTCAACTATTTTCTGATTTACTACATCTTAAATTGTCAGCATATATCTAAAATTATTCTTAATACATTATAGCTGTAAATAGCTTAATCCAGCTTAGAGAATGTAGATATATCTTTTCACCTGACAAAATTTGTATAGTTATATTGTAACCATAGTAAGTGCTTATTATACAAAATTGCTTGTTGATTAATTAAAAAAAAACTCATCATTTGAGAAATTTTTTAAATCTGGAGATTAGGGCTAAATGCATAATGTGTTAGTTATGTTCATTCAATTTCACTAAAAAAAGAAATATTATAGGAGCAAATCTGGTGAGACGGCTGCTGATTTCTCATCAAAATGCGGACATTATGAATTATATCATTATATTGTTTCAAAAGATCACAAGAAGTTGAAGTTGCAATTTTTTTGTTTGCTTTATTATAAATAAATACTTTGTAGCATACGTCTAGAGAAAAAGCAATTTGCTTTTTTTCTTTCATATCTTGACATTTTATTGGTCCAGTTTAATGTTATGCTTCTGACTAGATAAGGTTATTCTTGTATATGTATGATCCGAATATTGCTTAGCTACAATATTTTCAGGAATTCATCTCTGCAGAATAATGGAACTTTGGAAAACGATGTAAAGGCTACACGCTTTTGCATAGCTTGTAATTGTAATTATACAAGTGATGCTCACGCAAATAGTGTAGGGCATCTTCTGGAAACGCAAAAGCCGGTGCTTCAAGCAGGTTATGGAATTCCGGTGTGGAATAAAGGTTGTCGTATTATGCAGAAAAATGGTTGGAATTAGTTTGAAGGATTGGGTCGTAATTCAAAATGCCGTCGTTATCCACTGAAAGCAGCACCGAAAAAAAACAAATTTGGTTTGGGTTATAATTCTGATGCCTCGAAATCTCATGTAAAGTATGTTCTTTGATGCTTCGTCCTTTTAAATACTTGATCTCTTTGTTGAAAGTTTATATATTTGAGAGAAATTTTACTTCAGTTCGTATGAAATATAATTGTCCAAATGTCAAAAAAGGCATCACCTAGTTTTTTTTAACTAAAAAGTTCATTTTTAAAGTTCACTGTTTCTTTTTAGAATTTCGTTTAACTTTTTTAAATGCGCTTTCTTTCATTCATATAGTCATTAATTATTTTTCAGGTTAGTGCTGTTGAAAATGCAGAAACAGAGCTTGTAACAAGAAGCCAAGAATTTATAAACAGTATGAAGCAAATACTTCACCATAAAAAATTAGAACGACTATTTCGACACATGTTCTAAGCATATTGAAATCGGTTTAATAAATTCAGAACGTACAGAAGGCGAGCATTATATTATTGATTCAATAAAAGTTATAAGTTGCATTATTTCATAGGATCTGGTAACAGCAATCATAGGTGTGATTAGTAGCTGAAGAAATAGCAGAAGTTATAAAGATCCAGTCAGAGTAAATCCATGTTTACTTATTATTCTTATCAGTCCTTTCTGATGTTAAGAGTAAAAGATTGTATCAAATTGTCTATATAATAAATTGTCTTCCATACATACTACTTTAGTGCGATTTCCCAGTCATTGTTGAAAACATATTGGCCAACTTTATATGAAAAGAGCAAACTACAAAGACAAGCCACTGATTTAAAAGTTGCTTATGTTTATAAAACTTTTTTCAGTTTTCGTCGGTCAAATTAATAATAACTTTACATTTTCAGGAAGAATGAATAATTTTCAATCTTTTTTCATTTATCCCAGCAGGCCATACAGTAAATATTCTTTATCAAAAAAAGGGATTTTTGGGAAGGTGTTGAGAATTTCTAAAATTTTCTGCTGCTTTCCAGGAATTATATAAAGGTTTTTTCATTGGTTTCATAGTTGGTGAGATAGTTGCTAAATTTATTGTATTTTATCTTGTTCTGTAGTGTTGCTGATTTATATCTCTTTTTCGAGATGATTGAACCATGAATATTACCTGACTGGTTGGAACTTTGTACTCATCAGTTTGTCATACGTGACTTAACGAGTTATCTACTTAACAAGTTTTATACCATGGATTTTAATATTACACCAAAGATGATGCAATACTAAAATGGTACAGGAATAAAATATATATGATTTCTTTCTCGATTGCATGCATTATAAGATCGTGAGGAAGTAAAACCTTTCACTTTCAAATTTATTTGTACTCCATTTAAAGCATGCAGTATTTAGAACTGAGTCGAAAAGTAATCGGGGGGAAGTTTTGGTGTTCGTGTGGAATATCTGATTTAATGGTTTGTCGCTCTATTTCAAGTTTTACAAATTAAATGTTGGTAGTTGGATATTATATTTCTTTGTATTTTATGTTTCTAGATGAGAGATGAGTAGTGTCTCAGACGTAGGTTTGGAATGTGCTTTATGCCATGAGAGCTATGCTTCTGAGAATCGGACACCTCTTATGCTGCATGGTTGTGGTCATACTGTAAGGTTCTTTATAAATAGCTTTTTAAATTATTTTTAAAAACATGTAAATTTACCATTTCTTTGTTATATGATACTCTCATCACAATGCATGCTAGACATGTTCTGATACAAGAAGAATAATTTGCGTAGAAGACAAATTTTGGCCCATGGTATTCATGAAAAATTCATTCATTTAGAATTAAAATATTAAAGGCTTGTCAAACGTGTTGCTCAGCTTTAATGGATGTCGATGCACCCATTGCTCAAGTTGTTTGTCCGTTTGATCGGACAGTGACATTACTTACCGAACCATGTGTGCTTTCTTTGAAAAAAAATTATGCTCTGATTGAAATAATTGAAAGACACAAAAAGTTTGCTCGTTCAGATCAAAACTCACCTTTGTTGGTAATATTTTATTGACTTTACTTAGTAAATATGTTTCTTACACTTTACACTATATTTAAAGAATGAATTTCAAAATAATTGTCGTATACTACAGTTCAAGTATGTTTGTCATCCTTTACATTTTTCATCAGTAATTCACATCAGTAAATTTAAGACTCATGTTTCAGTACTTGTTCATTCTTGTCTTGTAAATACAAGACATCCTTAATTTGCTCATCAATATTCTAAGTTGTTAATTGACTTATTTTAAGACTAATGATCTGCCTCCACCTTACTATCTAAAGGATATTCTTCTTGGCATACCGTGTGATGAAGATCCAAGACATACTGCTATTATTTATTGCATCGTTTGTGAAAGTAACATGTGTGCTGAGTGCTCAAAACGAACTCATTCTGGACGTATACTTTCGAAGCACTGTCGTGTTCCCGTGAGCGAGAAACCGTTTTCTCGCACTATGTGTCCATATCATTCTGCATACGCAATTGAATTCGTATGCCAGGTATTTTTCTTTATACATTTGGATTTTTTCTTGTTTCCTGTATGCTAAATAAATGGTAGTTATTTTACGGATAACAGAATTCAGCTTCCATTTAAACATTATACAAAAGAGATTAATTGTATTTTGTACTGTTGGGAATTATTGCAAGCCATGAGTTTTTCTTTTTTTTTAATGGTCTGATAATTGCAGGAAGTAGGATGTTTGGAAAATAACCGTTTAATGTGCCTGCTATGTCGGGATTATGGACGTCATCGCAATCATCGACATTCTTTGCTTGAAGCCGAAGCTGCCGGATTACGAGAACGAGTTCGTGAAGCACTTTCAGATTTTAGAAGTTTCATAGGTGGACTTAATGGATGGAATATTCGAGTAACTCAGTAAGTTCCAATTTTTATTTTATTGACTTTGAAATATGTTTCTACTTAGAAGTTTGGGGTTATTTTTCAAAGTAGCAGGCATAAATTGTTAGAAAAGTATTACTGTAAGCAGCGCTATGTTCGAGTTAAAAGAGTGAATTACTATTATATATATTAATTAACTTGTGTCTGCCTATTTTCTACTATTTGCATTACTGTTTTGCAGAACAGTGGCTGAGATTGTAGACTTAAATGAAGGCTCACATGTGAGTGCGCGGCGGCAAGTGGAAGTACATTTTCAGCAGTTGCGTGAAGAACTTGATCTTCAGAAACAAACAGCTATTGCACGATTAGATGCTCATGTTGCTAATCGAATTAAAACTCTTCGGCAGCACCAACAAGAATTGGCTTTTATCACTTCACAGGTAAGTAACTGAGTTGTAGTTCATTCCAGTTGCCAGTGAACTTATGGACTCATATAAAAAAAAGAGATTTCGTATTAGCTTTCCTTTCCAAATAATTTTTATATTGTTATTTTTTTCTTATTTGCTGTGAGGGGAAAAATATTCATATTCTAGTAAGTCTTCACGATATTAAAGAAACACATCAGAATACTAGAAGTGCTTTACAAATAGAATGAACTTTCGAAACGAAAAAGAAATTAAAATTAATACATTTATGGGATTTATGTTCTGAACGTCTCTCACTCAATTAATAAGTGTGTAAGTCTAATAATTCTTTGATATCGACCCTTCCTCTTGTTTGTTCGAATTATGAGGAATTTCCAGGTTACTGCTGTGTCAGCTCAGCTGCAGGAAAGCTCGGAAATGGATGATGCTCGACTTATTCAGCAGCAAACTGATCTTATTAAAATGCTGGATGCTGTGCGTACTCATCAAAGTGAAATCGCTTCCGCTCCAGGTAAATGTATTTTTAGCTCGTTTTTTATATTATTTCAGATCTGTCGCATGAATTGTAGTGGTCTGAAAAAGATTTTTTTGAAATGAATTTGATATTTTTAGTCCCTAATATGATTAAAAAATGTGGATGTTAGTTTTAATTCTCGCTTTATTGGTTCTGGCAGTGGATCGCATTCCGGCACTCTGGCAGTACTTGTCCCGCGCTTAGATTTGTTGTACTCATCGTACTCGCTTCCTCCTCGTTGAATCCATATTCACCATCAAAGGAAATGCTTTCGAGCGTTTTCTTGAGAACTATCGATTGGATGTGTGCCTCGACGTGGTCTGATGTACTAATCTCCTTCGCATAGTGTTTGTGAAAGATCGTTACAATCCCATCCCAAATCATCACATACGGAATTATTTTGCTTTCATCTCTGACCCAAGCTATTAGCAAGTAAATCATATTTTCTCTTTTTCTCGGTCTCGACTATTCTGACTAGTGATGCCAACCTCAATCAGGATTACTTTATGTCGCGCTTATCATGTATCATGATATCCGGTCGATCCGCTTTCATTCTGATTGCAGTTCTCACTCTTCTATCGACTCTGATCTCAACATTCTCATTCGCGTATCGACTCTGAACTCAACATTCTCACTCGCGGCGACCTCCTGAACAGAATCGCTTCGCAAACGCGGGAATGCTTTCAGACCATACTTCTTGCAGAGTCTGAAGTGGATGCATTGTAGGACTTCATTGTGTCTTCTAGTATAGTCGTGATGTAACATTTTTTCTCACTGCGTTGCCAGATGGTCCACCGTCTTCACACGTTCCCTACAGTGCTGGCACATACCTTTCTCAGCTCCATTCTTTACCTCCAAGTTTTTCAGCGGCCAAAATCCGTTCTATGAAGGTTTTGTGGAAATTTAACAAGCTTATCTTCTTTTCTATGCTTGTCTCCCTCCCCAATGGCTTCTCTCTCCTCGTCATGTCTTCATAACATTGTTGTGCTTCCTGGAGCTGCTTTGCAGTATCAGTCATTGACTTGGAGAAATTCTGTATAGCATATTCACCCGCTGCTTGGTTTACTGCTCCAAGTATGAGTGGGTCCACGCTCTCCGATGTTATTTTCCTCGTCCATTTTGTCTGGTTTATCTCACGTCTCTGCGCCTCTTGCATCAGCACTAGATATTTTCCGTTTATATCTAGATAAACCTTAGACTCGTGTAGCGTATTTTCCTCGAAGTGCGTATTTTGTAAATTGACACTCGTGGACTCCTCTAAGAACCGTTTCTGTGAGCACGGACGACCTGCAATACTGGCGTTCACAGAATTCGCTTGTTTCTTTAGTTCTTCGAGGGTAATAGCACGCGAAAACTTCTCGCTATACAGAGACCGACATAATGGTCATTCCCCTCTCGGCATTCTTCCAAATCGGTTTAGGACAGCTTTAAGCATTTCTCCTGGCCACTTGCTGCGTGGGGTTTCGACTCCACAGACGATTGCTTCAAGTGTGATTATTGTGTTGGCACAGGGTTTCGGTACACTGGCCGTATTTTCTGTTACACCCTTCACATACCTTTTCCCAACCGCATCTGTTTTTGCATTGTTTTCATTCAGTTTACAGATGCGGACTTTTTCCATTTTATGCGAACTTTTTCCATTTTATGTTTGTTGAATACAGCCGCTCAGAGTCAATCTCGGAGCCAACCGCTCAACACCTCGGCAAGACCGAGAATGGTATATATATAGTATATGTAATGCGGATGATAAAAATGTTGCTTTCATGCACTAATGATGGTTTTTATTATTTTCATCATATCTGAACAGATGAACTGTTAGATTTTTCTGACTCAACAGTTTGTTTTTTTTTACTTTGTTTATGTTAAGGGGATCTCTCACTGGATGCAAGGATATCCTTTTCATTCTCTGCTGATAATCAAATTCATATGGGTATCAATGTCGACATACGTTTGGTCATTCTTGGTTTGGATGGAGCTGGGAAAACTACAATATTATACAAATTAAAGGTATATAGAATTTATTCTGTTATAACAGTTAGTAATATAATTGAGTATTTTTGATTAGCCATTTCAGTTAACTTCCGTATGGTAAGCATTATTCTATAGATGAATGACTTGTTTTCAAGAGTAACGAGTACAGGCAGCCAACGACAACTGTTGGATTCAATGTTGAAACAATTCAGTATGAAAGTTTCAAAATTACCATGTGGGATGTTGGCGGTACTCCGAAATTACGTCGTCTTTGGAAGCATTATTTCATGAATACTCAAGGTTTCAGTTGTAACTGTATTTGTGCGTGAAAAATCAGATGCTGTTTCAGAAATTAGAAAATCTTACTGTCTAGTGAAGGCCAAGGTTGACGGCATCCAACCAAAACAGCTGCAGTGATCTCTAGGATCAGTTTTAGAACTAAGACAGCATTCCAATGAATTGACGACAAGTATTTCCATTTAATGTTCATAATTTAGCCTTTTGACTAGAAGTCGATATACAGATTGATCATTGAAACAGTGAAAGGGATCTGGTTAGTGACTGAAAATTGGTTTTCATCCATTTTTAAATTATTATCAAATTGCTTTCAGCAATTGTATTTGTTATTGATAGTTCGTGTCCAAGCCGATTTGGAGAAGCACAGAGCGAATTAGCGCGAATATTTGCTGAGCGGCAACTTGTAGATGCATGCTTTCTTGTAATTTTGAACAGACGACAACCTACTATTGCTAATCAGCATTGTGTAGTTAGTTCAGCTGCTATCGATCAACTTGTTATGAACATAAATCGATTTAGTGCTGGTTAGCTCAGTAATTTTATTTTGTTAGATAGAGAAAGAGAATGATAAACTTATGAAATATTCCTGAATAATGACACTAGAAGTGAATTAGTTTGGTTATTGAATAATTTTACTGTAATTACTAATCTGAAATTATTTTGAGTATTAGGGCGAACAGTTCTGATTCATCAGTGCAATGCTGTGACTGGTATTGGTATATGGGAAGCATTTGATGCACTCACATCAAAGCTTTTGTTGATTCGAAATCAGAGTGAAATGTTGGATGCAGAAGATACAAGAAATGAAGTTGAAGAGCCAGAGATGGAAACACGTACGCAGAAATCCAATTTTTAGCTGACTTTGAATTTAAATTGCATATCCCTTCATTAATATTAACTCGTTGTTGAATTTGTGTGCTGAAAACATCAGTTTTATAAAAAATTTGATTTTCACAATTGATTGTTGTAAGGCATCCAGTATTTCAATTAAGCATGAATGAAGCTTTTTTATTCGAAACTATGTGAAGGGTGTCGCTCTTCAGTAATGATGTACTGATATTTTGTAAAGTAATGATAAAGTTCACCTTTATGAGCCAAAACTTGTTTTGTATTATAGGCATTTCGAAATTTGTTTTTGAAAGATCTCACATCTATAATAGTTTTTTTTCAAGCATAGGCAGGATTGTTTACTCTTATGTGTCCTAGATTGTTTTCCTACTATGGTAATTTTGTTGATCGGGTGACTCATTATTGTAGCAACTCACTTTTTCTTGTAATTTAGTCTGCGTTCATATGGTATTCTTTTATGCTATTTATAATTGTATTGTGATATTAAATAAAGTTTCGAATACCAGAATTATGCAAATTTTTTTAATTCGATAGTTTTTTCATTCATAAATTCCATTTATAAGTCAGCTGGTTATCCTTTCAGTATGTGTTTCTATAATTCATAGCTGGGTAGCGGTCTGATTGGAACATGTCTAGGAAAGGTATTCCTGTTGATTAATGCTGCTGACAAAAAACGGAAACTAGAAATTACACTTCCATTCATTATTCATAAGCGGACACTGAGCGAAAGCAGAAATGCATAATTACTATGCTCTCTATAGTAATAAGTGGGAACTTTGAGCATTTGGTTTTAAATGCTTCCGAAGTGCTTATGGTTATTGTTCTTCCTACGGTAGTTTGGTAGGAAGAGTGTAAGACGTGTAAGAGTGCGTCAGATTCGTTATCAAGTTTTATTCGTAGGCCAGACGCAATTATTAATCGTTAACAAATATACACGTATTTAAAAGAATTTTAGTGATAACAATATATTAATATTGCCATTTATTCACATTGTTACATGCAAACAGTGCATGCAGTAATGTTTTCTGTAATTCGAAATGTATGATATTGTGATAGTAGCACTTGTTAGTTTCACTCATGATCGTAAAATAATAGGGAGTAAGTTGTTTTAATTTTACTATAATCTCTCAATTCTGTTTGAAAAAATAATTGAAATATATTTCTACCCTAAGGAGAACTGTAGCAAATAATTAAAGTAATTCTACGTAATACAATGCAGACGATTCGCTTCTAAGAACAATAAAAACAGCAAAGGAAACTTTGGCAAGAGTGGAGCAACAGGAAAAGGACTTTTATCAACTCTGTGGACAATGTGAAAGCGACGTGTTGCGGAATATTATCTTAGTATGTCACTGCTGAATTTTGTGCATTTTCTATAATCGCCAATCACTAGGATGGTTCAAGTTCATGCTAGTGCTATCAATTCTTCCCAAATATATTACGAAATGA